ATTTTTTAAAAAAAGAAGAAATTCTCCCTCTTAGGCAACATCTCAAATCTCAGCTCAGTTTATCTACCTTGGGCTGGAGCTTGTCCCATGCATAGATGATTTGTGTTTGGTTAAAGAAGAAAACTGGAGACTTACAGAATTTTAAATCCTTGCCTAGGTTCACATGGCTATATTTCTGTCACAGGCTATCTGACCTAGAATTTGCAATCTTCTATGACTGTGCTATGCCTCTCTAGGGACAAGAATGAGAAAGAAAGATAAAGGGGGTCTTTAGAGATGTTTACCTGGTCAAACTGAGGAAACATGACTTAGGTTTGGGTTCCCTCTATATTCTACATCTCCAGATTCTAAGAAAATAATAAATGGTCTAGGAATAAGGACTCTAGACAAATCATTTTTATCGCTCTAGCACTTGCATTGCTTTTTCCTACCTTGTTCATTGATCCCTACCAGCTGCCATTCCACTTTGGTCAGTGGATTCTGAGCATGCCAAGTCATGTCACATGTCAGACGGACAGAATACAGACATCATATGTTTGTACTTCTTAAAGGAACAGGTCTTTTCCTTTTTCCCATGATAGAAAATAAATAAATAAACTAGTTTTGGTTTGGTTTGGTTTGGTTTTTAGGTTTTTGCCAAAGGGTACCACATGTGCTCATTGGAGAGAGACAGTAAGAAGGAAAGTGAGAAATCACTCCCCAGGGTGGGTGGCCATGCCACAATCCCTTCTCCTTCATTCTTCCCCTGTGATTTTGGTCATGCACATATGTGATTTTCAAGCCACCAGGTCCAGGACTCGAACTGTTGTCAGCCATATGGAAGTCCAACACTTTAACCAACATGACACCCATTGGCCACAAAAACTAGTTTGTTTGGTTTTTTTAGCATGAAGTTATATGGTTGTTCTTTTGTTAAATGAAATAGTACATTTCAACCATTAGATTATGATTTAAGTGTATAACACCATACTTCCAGAACACAGAAGAAATTGGCCACATACCAAAGATATTACAAGAATAACTCATATTCCCAGGTCAACCATATTCTGTGTTTCCTTTTCTCTGTGTCCCCTGATTAGATTATGTGGTCATTTATACAGAAAACAGAGATTCTGTATTCTAAATATCACTTCAATCTCCACTTTCCCCTTAGATCTGCTCATGCAACATTTAAAAGGATAGGATTCAGGTGACTGGCACCTACTATAATAAAACACACCCAGCTTTTCCCCCGCTCTCCCCATTCCAAAGGAAGTAAAAGTACACATGGAGGTACACCAATATAGTCTCAACCTGGCCTATTATCAAGTCTAAAAGAAGAGATGGAAGGTACTTCTCTGAACCTACAGTGGTTCACAGCATATGGTCTGTTTTATTATACTAGAAGCCTCTATCTGTATCATTCTGAAAAGTTCCAGAAAAAAACTGAAGGCTAAATGAAGCAACGAAAGCTTACTTAGCTCCTTTGAGGGAGAATTTAGGATGCTGGAATGCTACTGAGATCACAGAGATGTTGTGGACAGGTCCCTGACGCCTTAGCCTCTCTTGGACCAGCCCACCACAGGGACACAGCACTGAATTCAAAATCCTCTTGGGCTTGGGGTACCTCACAGAATTAATTATCTTGTATTTAACACATCTTGAGACTGGTCCAACCTGCAGCTAAGAATAGCAGCATTCTAATTCCACAGGTGCTGATGAAATTCTATGAACATATTTCTCATAGGTCCTATAAACTAGAAAAACAGGCAGACATTAGAGCAAATTTTGAAATAAGTAGAAATAGAATTGGATGTAGTTGTTATTAGGCTCTACGTGGTGTTCTATAGCTGCATCTTCCTAGGATAACATATATTGGCATGATCTTAATCATGGAGCTCTTAGCCCTTATTCTCAAAACAGATAAAAATAAAAGATTAATACAGTAAGACAAAAGGAGAAACTGAAGCAGATATAGTGATGGCAAGAACCATTATTCAACACATCTGGAGTATGAATCAAACTTCCTTTTATTGCCTTTAAAAGAGATTCCTGACACCTTCTTCTCACCATCCATGGTAAAAGAGATGTATATGAAGCAGACAGAATCCTGACAGTGACACTCTCAGCAATTAGCAAGAAAACCCAGGTAAGGACTAAGAAAAGAAGATGCATGGCTGTTTTGCTTCTTTTCTATCCCCCTTTCTCCTTAGCCCATTCCAACCTCTGGTGTGTTAGGATCCCATCTCTCGAAAATAGTCCTGTAACAACAGTGATGAAATTGTGCTACTTTAATGACCAAAAAGGGCAGAGCCCCAGGTCATCACTTACAGACAATGAGATCCATTTTGATTTATGGAGAACATTGTTTTGACTTATGGAGAACAAGAGCACAGGAACCAACAGTGCCTTCTCTTCAAGTAATCCCATAATGAACCCTTTCACCAAAACTTCAGCCTCTGATGGAGATACACATAAGTTCACACACCTACACACATCCACAAACACAGGAGGATACACACTCATGCTCACACACATTAAGGTGCTAGAAGAATGTGACACTGACCAAAAACGTTTCTCTGCCAATTTTGAATCGTCATCAATGAGAAGCTGCATTATATTGCATTATCTTCCATTTTATATATCTTATGAGCCCATGGTTTGGTTATAGAGCAAGCTTCCCTTAAGTAAATTATTTATTTTTTAGTATTCTTCCCATGGCTCAAATTTCAAAATGTACTAAAAAGGTACACATGAAAAATTTTCTCCCTCTCCTATCTTTCATCCACCCAACCCCATATCTCTAAGAAGTAATCAGGGTTATTTGTTTATTCTTTCAGAAATGTTTATTGAACATTCAAGCCACTATAATATATATCATGTTGGAAGGTGGGGTTAAAATGTTTATATTTGGGACCAATATGGGGATAATTCAACTTAATTTGAATTAAGTTCTGATCCCTTCAATCCTCCACCCATCTTTATGCCCTGTTTTTTTTTTACAAGATAACTTTTACTTCTTTTCTCCCTAAATGTCTATTTCCTCATCAGTGGAAAACATGAGTTCACTAAACTCCATTCTGATTTCCAAACTTGAACCTGTATCCAAAAGCATCCAATATGCTCACCAAATTTTAAAATCAATCAACTCCAAGAAACTGTCTTCTAAAAGATCATACAGCTAACATGAAATGTAAGAATGATCTTGTTTTGAGCTATAGGAGTCACAGTTCATAATGTGCCTAGAAAAACGCCAACTGACCCTAGGTGAAAAGGAAAGACAATGCATTAAATGAGTTTTATGTCTGGATGAAGTAATGGGTATTCATCCCACAACTGGTATTCTAAAAGTTAGACTAAAACAGTAGCAAAAGAAGAAATAAAGAAAAACGGTCATTTTTAGTAACTTGGGGACTAAGAAGAAAATGGAACTGAGGTTTCTACCTCTGCAAAGCTAGAAATGGCCATGGGGCAAGATCAAGGACGGTGAAGGTTCTGAGGCCTCTTCCATTGCCTAAATCAATGAGAGGCTTGTCCTGATTAAGAGAAAAGTAAAAGTCAACTCAGAGCACTAGAAAAGGCAAAAGCAGTGGCCTCTCTGAGGCCAGAGATCTGGCTGCAGGACTGACTGTACTCATCTGGAAAGCCCCGGAGATGCACCTGTGGACATATGTGCAGTAAGCCCCACTAACCCACCCACATCACCTAGAGCTCTGTCTAGGGTATATGAATAATACAGAATCTAACAGACACAGACCCTAAGTAGTGTTGGGACTCTTGGTAGGGAATGGGGGAAACACAATCAGTTATGACCATGCTGGCCAATAGCACACAAGTAAGAGACCTTGGATACTTCAACTACTATCCAATAACGTCTGGTGATTAAAGAAGAACATGAAGAAGAGTGGAAAGAACAGTGGTCTTGGAGCTTAACATTTAAGGAGGAACTAGGTTCTTACACTTGCTGGATGTGACTTAAGGGTTAGCGATTATTTATTCATTTTCTGTTGGGGAGGAGGAATCCTTTTCCTTCTAATTAAAAACAATTATTTTGGGATCAACAGATAATGTGATGGTTACATCACTGGACTCCCACATAGTCAACTGTGATTCAAGTCCCAGATCCGGCACCTTAAAACTCATGCCAGGCAGGTGTGTGTGCGTGCCCAAGATCCTGAGAGGAGAATGGAGGAGAAAGGATTGTGGCATGGCCATCCCCCCAAGGGGTGATTTCTTGCTTTCTGTCTCTCTGTATCTCTGTGTCTCTCCAATGAGTGCACACACCCTATAGCAAAAATCTCTCTTTAAAAAATTATTATTTTAAGAATATTAATTATTTCTATAAAACATGCTGAAAATACCTTCCCAGTTTTTTGGTTGTCTTTTTACTTTGTGCATAATCTTTTTATTTTATTTTTTAAGGATTATTTTATTTTGTTTATTCATTTTGATTTGACCAGAGAGGGACAGAGCAAGAGAGAGAGAGAAACAGAAAGTGGGAAAGTTAGCCGCCAGGTCCAGGACTCAGACCACAGTCAGTCATGTGAGAGTCTAGCATCCTTAACCATACCAGCTGCCGGCCCCAATGTGCATAATCTTTTTTTAAAATACATTTTTAATTTAATTTAATCAAAGCAATGATGATTTTCTTTACTGTTTCTTCCATTTTTGTTGTTGTTGCTGTGATTTGTTTTTACTTAGAAAGACTGCCCTTGTCTCATGATTAAATAACTATTGAGTTGTATTTGCTTAGGTTCCTTTATAGTTATATCTGTAAATATAACCACCTGAAATATATTTCAGTTAAACTCTGTGAGATGTAAATTTAAATTAATTTTCCAAAAACTTAACCAGCTCATCTCAGCATCATTCATTAAGTCTCTCTTCCTTTTCCTATAGGTTGCCAGCGCTATCTTTAGCAAACCAAGGTCTAAAGAATACTGTGTTCTGCTCCCAGATTTTCTATCTTTTTCTTTGATTAATTTGTTAATGAGGAAAACAATATGGAACAGTCCCTAGGATGTCCACATGGAAGAAGAAGACAGTCTGGAATATTGCATGCCTGTGAGAGTTCACAATCCAGGGCCTCTCAGCTTCTCTCAGTAAACCCAACTTTCTGCTCACAGACAAATGGAAAGGGAAAATCTGACAGGCATCTCAGAATTTTTTCTCATGGGGCTCTCTGAGCAGCCAGAGCAGCAAGAAGTCCTCTTTGTGCTCTTCTTGTCCATGTACTTGGTCACTGTGGCAGGTAACCTACTCATCATTCTGGCCATCATCACTGATGCTCAACTCCACACACCCATGTACTTCTTCCTAGCCAATCTCTCTTTTGCTGATGCCTGCTTTGTGTCCACCACGGTTCCTAAGATGCTGTCAAACATATGGATCCAGAATCAAGTCATATCTTACTCAGAGTGTCTATCGCAACTATATTTTTTTATGTTGTTTGTAATGCTTGAAGCATTTCTCTTGGCTGTCATGGCCTATGACCGCTACATGGCCATATGCCACCCACTTCATTACATCTTGGTCATGAGCCCTGGGCTCTGTGTCTTCCTAGTGTCTGCATCCTGGGTCATGAATGCCCTCCACTCCCTTCTACACACACTTTTGATGAACAACCTGTCCTTCTGTGCAGACCATGAGATTCCACACTTCTTCTGTGACATCAATCCCCTTCTGAGTCTCTCCTGCACAGATCCCTTCATCAATGAGCTTGTAATCTTCTCTGTTGGGGGTCTTGCAGGTCTGGTTTGTGTGCTTTGCCTGGTTATCTCTTACACATACATTTTCTCAACCATCCTGAAGATCCCCTCAGCTCAAGGGAAGCGGAAAGCTTTTTCTACCTGCAGCTCTCATCTCTCTGTGGTCTCTCTCTTCTTTGGGACTTCTTTTTGTGTTTATTTCAGCCCTCCTTCAACCCGCTCAGCACAGAAGGGCACAATTGCATCAGTAATGTACACAGTGGTAACTCCAATGTTGAATCCATTTATCTATAGTTTGAGGAACCGAGACATCAAGTCTTCCCTGAGAAAGCTAATTTGGGTTAGAAAAATCCACTCCCCTTAATGATAATGACTTGATATCACATATGGGGTTCTCCGCTCATTTGCATTCACACTAAGCAGTGAAGAATGGAAGAAGGAAAGAAATTGGAAATCTTGCTTCCAATACCCATAATCTGAACCTGAAATATTTATGTCTAAACTATAGGACTGCAGCAGAACAATATGTGGCCCAGAATAAAATTCGGGGAAAGTTAGCCTCTCTAACATCACTGCAAACTTGAGTACTTGGATCTACCAATAATGTTTCTGCCAATGAGACTGCCCATGTCTATGAAGGCCCTATGTCAATGACTATTGTTTTTTATTTATTTATTTATTTTTACATTCAATAACTGTGTGTCATTACAATATACCAAATGAATTTTCTCATTCTAAATTTACCAAGCCTTTAAGAATCACAGTCTTCCTAACCATCTTAAATTTCACATGAAAACTTTATCTTTGAAGACATTTTTTCCAAGCCCATTTTATCTTTGCAGACCCAATGCTTACATGCTTACATCTTTTTTTTTCTTTTGGAGAGGTTTTTGCTATAGGGCGCGTGCACTCACCAGAAAGACAGAGAGAGACAGAGAGACAGAGAGCGAGAAATCATCCCCTAGGGGACATGGCCACACCACAATCCCTTCTCCTCCATTCTCCTCTTGGGATCTTGGGCACGCATGCACATGTACCCAGCATGAGTTTAAGCCACCGGATCCAGGACTCAAACTGCTGTTGACTACATGTGAGTCCAGCGACATAGCCATTACGCCAACTGTTGGTCCCACTTACATCTTTTTCTTTTTTTTTTTTTAATTTTTCTCTCTTTATTTTTAAAACATGTCTAGGACACAGGAGATTTCTCATAATTGGTGTTGCCAATTGGCTAAAGAAATATCATTGTATGGAAACTATACCAAATATAAACATTTGATAAGTAATGTAATTCCAAGTTAGTTCATTAAATCACAAAATATTCAGCAATGTGTTATACTATTCGAACCTGGCTTTTTTGATCTTACAATGTGGTTGGATTGCATAAGTACATACATATATTTTTTAACTTACATCTTAACATAATGCCTCATGCTAGTTATTTGTGTTGAACCTCACTGGAATGGTTACAATCACAAAATTAGGTGCTAGAAAGAAATGACCATTAGGGACACTTTATAATCAATCTATCTAAATGACTGAAATGCCCTGCTAGTTGTTCTTCAATTCTAAGTCTATCCACATTCCGTCTACTCTGTACAACACAAATTAGTCTTCATGGGATATGATTATATCATCACTAGAAATGTCCAATGGCCCTATAATGCCTGCAGAACAAAGCTCAAATTATGCAAGCATGCAGGCTCACCATCACCAGTTCATACCTGACATGGTTCATAGATAGCCTACACTATTCTGTATTTCTCCCAAGGTAAACTCAAATCAATATTTTCAGAATATATTGATATACTCCAGATAGTTAACAAAGATTTGGAAAGCTTTGTCTGTAGAAGTTGTGACAAAAATCTGTACAATAAGTTATAGTCATAACCAACAAGTTTTTATAGAAAAGTAAGATGTTATCACCGCATTTCATTCTTATTGTCTATCTCCCTTTGGAAATCTGGTTGTATATTGCAGTGCCGCAGGTTGTCATTGCTGTAAATAATATCTGCTCCAATAGCAGTCAATGGTTACTAGCCAGCTCACTTGTTCCCTACTTACCTCACAGGAAGCCCACATACTATTATCTGACAATAAAAGGAAGTATACTGAAATAGTAGACACCATGGACTCTAGAGTTAGACTGCAGAAAGTTCAAATACTGACTTTGCCACTTTTAAGCTAGGACATTATTTGACTTTTGGAACCAAGTAAAAGCTACCTCACTGTGTTGTCAATAATTTTAAATATGCGGTCCAGCAAGTGGAGTGGTAGTTAAGATGCTGGAGTCCCAACCTGGTGGCTTGCTTTCTCACTCACTTTCTTTCTCTCTCTCTCTTTCTATCCCTATCTTTCTCTGGTAAGCACACATGCCCTGTGGCAAATTTTAAAATAATAATAACAATAATAATCATAAATAAAATTAAGTAATGTTTTTAAATTTTTTTAAATAAGTTTAAATATGAAAATATATGTAAAACATTCTTTGTGATAATTAAATGAGTGCACATGAAAGCATTTATAGCAATATAGCGTATTTTTATTAAATGTTAGCCATTATAGTGGTAGCGGGTTCAGTGTTCACTGGTTACCAATTTGTCTGAGTCCAGAGAAACAGAATACCCACATAACACCAGTTATAAGAAGCATGTTTACTACTTATGAATAGGTATCAAGCTATAATCAAGGCCTAGAATTTATTTTGAGCCAGTCCTCTGAGGATCAGAAAAGCTGCCCAGGGTGGATAGAGTCTCACCTCCATATACCCAACTTGCACCATAGCTGAGGGACTCTGGAAAGCAGTCTGTCATGAGTTTTACAGTCCAGGGGTCATATAAAGTACTGAGTTAAAGCACTGAAGGATATCCTGTTTCTAGGAAGGACTGGAACAGAATCTGAGCTATTTTGGTTCTTCCTCATCTCAGTATGATGTATTCCCAACATATTCTACCATCAAGAAAGATGAGGGGGTCAGGGAACTAGATCAGTCCAAGACTACCCAGTGAACTGTCTTTCAGTAGGTCTTGTTAAAATGAGAACTGAACAGCAGGAAATAATGTGAATTCACTCTCAGGTACTGCTGGTAAGGCATCGAGTATTATCTGTACTGTGAACGTAGAAGAGTCATTATTTAAATTACTCTTTTGGAGAACATTGTAGAATTTAATATAAAATCATCTGCTTACTGAGATTCATGTACAGGGAAGATTTCAATCTACTTTTCAAATCATGTTTATTAGGTACTTAACGGGGAAAATTACCTACTTAATTTAAAATGCAAAGGTTTACATCATCCCACACTTCCTCCTAATTCATTGACAACATTTTTTCCTCTTTAATATGTGCCAGTATCTTTAGTTCTATCTTTTTAACTTATACTACTACTCTTTCATATGTATATTGTACAGAACAACCATGTAACAACAGTTCACATGTTTGTCATAATTATGGGTGTGCCAATTATTTTCATTGAATTATTCTAACCTACATTCTTTAAAAGTTATAAATCCACAAATAATTATGAATAATTTTAAAGCTCATGTTCTATAGTACCAAACTGCTATCAAAATGTAATTGTTTATCAATTCATCATTAATGGACACCTAAATTCTGTCATGGATGACCTGGAGAATCAGGCCCAGAAAGACAAATACTATTATACATGTCCTCACTCATAAGCAGAAACTAAAGGAAGTTGATGTCATGGAAGCAGAAAGTACAGCAGGGATTACTATATGCTGGGAAGGGGAAGAGGAAAAGTTGAGAGGAATTGTCTAAAAGGTTAAAAATAGTTAAGATTGGGGGCTGGCAAGTACTATGATGGTAAGGCTCTGGACTCCCGTGTGACCAACTCACATGGCAGTTCAAGTCCCAAACCTGGTGACTTCTCTCTCAATTTCTCCCTCTTTCTCTGTCTCTCCCTGGACAAATTAAAAAATAATAATAAATAAAATTAAATAATTATTTTTAAAAAGTAGATAGGATATTTAAATTGTAGTATTCTATAGCACAGCAAGGTAAATATAGGTTAAAAAATAATTTGTTGTACATTTTAAATTTTGAATATTGCCAATACAAAGAAATGATAAACATTTGAGGTGATGAATATGCTATTTACCCTGATTTGATCATTACACATTGTATATATATATTTAAATATCACACTGTAACCCATAAATATGTACAACTATGTGTCCATTAAAGAGGTTTTAAAATGTGGGCCCAACAGATAGCACTGAATCAGGAATTGTTTGAGCTCCCTCAAGTCAAAGTGGAAAAGATTCCTTGTTCATACACAGGAATTTCAGGAGGGACCTAAAAGTGCCAAATTGTTTAGGTAGAGTTAAATTGTTCCTAAAATAAAGTCTAGGCTAGTCCACCTAAAAGAGTTTTAAAAACAGGTTGAAAAAGATCAGATGAATTCATTTGTCACTGATATGTCAGAAAAAAATAAATAAATAAACAGTATATTTTACTATTTAACATACAACAAAATCTAATACTCAACAATGTAAAATTCACAATGTCTAGGATATAATAAAATATTATTACACATATATGAAGGAGCAAGAATATTTGATCATTAGGAGAAAAATAAGATAACAGAAATAGACACAATAATACTACAGATAATGGAGACAGCATTTGCAAAATAATAAAATGGCTTTTATAAATCTCCTTCATAAGATGAAGAATATAAAGGGAAACAAAAATACAATGAGTCAAGAAAGAGAAGACCGGAAAAAAAGAACAGTAAGAAAATCATAGAAATTATTTAAAATACAAAATATAAAATGAGGGAACCAGCAGTTTGCGTAATGGCTATGTCACTGGACTCCCACGTAGTCAACCGTGGTTCGCGTCCTGGACTCGGTGGCTTAAAACTCAGGCCCTTAAAATTCACACTAGACTCATGTGCGTGCGTGCCCAAGATCCTGAGAGGAGAATGGAGGAGAAGGGATTGCGACATGACCATCCCCCCTGGGGGGTGATTTCTCGCTTTCTGTCTCTATGTCTCTCTCTGTCTGTCTGGCGAGTGCACGCGCCCTATAGCAAAAACCTCTCCCCAAAAAAAAATTTTTAAAAAATGAAATGAACATTTCCCAAGATAAGATTAAAAGAACTGACATCAAAGGAAAAAAGATCAATGAACTTGAAACAATAATAAGAAAATCAAGTTTAAAAAAATTAAGTCCAAAGTGAAGTATGGAAAGAAAAAAGTTGGAACAAAAAGAACAAGCCCACAGTTACTGGGGGAGATAATATCAAGTGGTTTGACAAATCTGTAATTGGAGTTACAGAAGAAGAAAGAATCAATAAACTCTTAAAGAAATAAAGTTCAATTTTTTCCCAAAGTTTTAT